TCAACCTGCAAGGCAAATCTTGGAAACTCACAGGGGTCTGAGACATTCTGAGACAGGATCGCTTTCTGTTTGCCGGATTTGCAGACTTCAGGAGCTTCACTCTTCACCCTCCTCCGTGCAAGACTCAGAACGACACCACACTGTTCTCGCCAAACTCAGCTCCCACCCCAGTGAGGAAAATCATCGCCACAATTCCAAACACGGCAGTTTCCAGCAAGGCTCGCAATGGCAGCTCGCCCTTGACACACTGCCTCTTGCATGCAAGCAGTCCTGGTTGCAGCAAACCGAACGGCTGATTCCGAGGCATTTGCATCTGAGAGCCGTTCAAGATGGATCCGATGCGAAGTTGAGGTGAAAGAGTAAATCAGGAGACCCAAAAGTCGAGGTGGTCGATGCCCCAGCGGAAGCTACGCGCGGATGGGGTGAGCTTCAACGCCGCCATGGCCGCCTGCGTGGCTCCGTCAGCCTTGAATCCCCACATGCTCGCATGTACTGTGCATGCGCGTTTGTGTTAAATTTTAAAAGTCTGTCTGCCAAAGCAAGATGCAGCAGCATGTAGCTGCATGGTAGTACATGGGAACTGATAACGTTCGTTCATATAATATTCCTGCATACAACAAGCGGTTAATCGGGACAGCCTTCATGGCACGTGCATTGCTGAATTGCTCGCAATTCGAACGGTAAGCATTGCAATGTCTCTGTTCAGGCCGTTTGCAGGATGCAGTGGTTGGATGAACATCTTATGAAGCCGAGAACAGAATACGTGTAACTATCGCTAGCATGAGAAATAAAGAGCAATGGTCGAAGGCATTTCCCGAGAGCGAAAACGGAGAGAGTTGAAGCCGTCAGCCTGCAACCAGTCAAGACAGTGCATGTCTACGTGACTAGTTCAGAACGGGAGACTGACGGACCGAATTCGTCCCGGTATGCTTAAGACGTGTGCTGTGCTTTTGCGAAAGAACCGCTACATGTAGCCTAATTCCCACACGAACACACTTGCTTGGGTGATGGAGTAGAATCCTGATACTGATCATCTGGAGCAGTTGTGCAGGTGACGGTGGGGCAGTGGCGGCTCTGCCTAAACCTGCTGCAGAGAATGCTGGACACGGGGCTCCGTGCCGACCAGGTGGAGAAAGCTTAAACTAAACGTTGTTTAAAGATTTTTTCCCGGGCAAGGTGGGTACGCACTGATTTTTTGGGTTCTATCGTTCAGCGTTCCGCGACGGGGCTCCGGCTGTGGTGCGGTGCATACTTTGCACTCACGTCCTTTTCTTACACAGGATCGTGGTGGACACGTGTCTCGGCAAGGCTAGATTCACTGTCTGGGATATCTTGTGGCATAGTTGGGGAAATCATGCTCCCGAGTCCGTGCTATTGGGGGAAGCCTACCTACTGGGGGAAAGCATTGTGGCCGTGCTCCTGCTGGTGTCGTGGGGTGTCCTACAGGTGATCTGCTGCTGCTCGTCCTGCTCGTAGTGGTCCTGTAGTGGTCCTCGTGGCTGTGGTGATCCTGGCATAATCGGTAAGCCCACAACATGCACTGTAAATCCGTGACCTTTCGCCTTCTTCAAGAAAGACCCGAGACCGATCCGCCCCTGTCCGGTGTCACATTGGACCGGACCGACACGCGGCCTTCCAACTCTGTAGCTGCGAGCCACCTGCTTCAGGTGAGCTACAGCACTGCGATGAGTGCCTGCAGAGAGGCGGAATTCCGCCGGCACTGCCGTAGACTTGTGCATGAAACGAGAGGGAGCTGGAAGCTGCTGGAAGCTGTTCTTGTGCAGACCTCGGCTCTTTGCGAAAGTCAAGATTCAAGAATCTCCTGAGGTGGGAAAGTGGCCGATCGTTCTGGATCTGCTTCATGCCATGGAAGCAGACTCATGGCTCCACACTGCCGACTTTGGTTGTTGACCAGTTTGAAGACTTAGGGTAATGGATTCTGGCACTACAGGGAGTCGAAAGCAGCCTGCTGCTACCATCAGTTGGTTGCGGGCACTCGGCTCACTCGGCCCTTGCGGTGCTCTTAGAGCAATCGCGGGTTCTTGGAGTGAAACGCAGTATTCGGATGTGGGGTGACACATTGTAAGGTGAGGAAGCACGGGGTGGGTGTACAGCACTACATGGATTCGTCTCAAGTATGTCCTTCGCATCGTCCCTGCTCATGCGCGGTCGAGCATTTGAGTCGAGTTGTGCGGAAATCATCACGCAGCAACAGTCAGTGTGTTCACCGCAAACTTAATGTGCCACCCCACACAAGACTCTGAACTGCCCATACGTCGAAGCTGTAGCCGCCACAACAATTTCGCGAGGTCTCGTGCGTTTCGTGTGTAATTACACATGTAGATGGGCTCCAGCATGCGGGCCGAGTCGAACAAGCCGTCGCCATCGATCGCTGGACTCAGTGCAGCCATGTGCAGCCCGCAAAAGCTGTTTGGGTTTGGTCCCGAGGAATCCGAAACCAACACGCCAAAGCCCCGAAGGGAAAATAACATTCGTGGCTCCCAGGCCAGGTTGCCTCCGGACACCATGGCTTGCAATGTGGTGTTTGCTGCTCTAGCGCGTGAGGGGAAGTGGATGCGCGCCAAGTGCCTTATCTCTGATTGGAGGTTGGTGTTGGTGCCAAGTTGGATGCTTGAAGCCTTTGAAGAGTCAGGCCTTCCCGAGATGCACTCTTGCAGCATTGGCTGTAAGAAGACAGCCTACACCGGGACACATCATGTATTCCCGTTGTCTCATTGATCTCCCCAGACCGCTTTGCAGGGCCAATGCTTTGAGCTATATACTGCTATTAGCCGTGCTACTGCAGCACTGTATGGCTGTACAACAACAACAACAACTACTACTGCTACACTACTACTACT